CGCCGTCGGAGCGGCGTTGCCTGTGCTTGCCCGCCCGAGCCGCCCAGCCGCGGGGCGGCTCGTAGCTGTCGTCTGGTGTGCTGCATCGCCGACCGGCGAAGGGCCCGGCCGCCCCCCCCCCCCCGGACCCCCTCGCGTCGTGACAAAACCCCGGCGGGAAGTGGTTCTAAATCTTCGGCCTCCAGGGGCCCCCGCTGGGCCTCGGGGCCGTCCAACAACGACTCGGGCTCTTAGCGACCCCGAGACACAACGCGCAGCACGCAGCGTATAGCTACGGGGGCCATCGCGCAGCTCGGAAACGCAGGCCTGATGCGATACGTTCGCCAAAACGTGGGCCAACACGTGCCGAGCCAACGCGCCGCGTGTTACCACGCACGTTGTGAACACGAGACCCCTCTTGCGTTTCAGCGCGGGCGTACAAAGGCAGCTACGCTCAGGATGAAGAACAAATCCCGGGGGAAGGGGTCCAGGCCTCTGGGGGTCGACGCTGCGAAAATAACACGACGTCGGGGGTCTGGGCCCCCCCGCCCCCCCCCCCTCCCCACCCCCTGGTCCAGATCTTGGCGCAGGTCCTGGCTGCTCCTGGCGGCTGCCTTCGGCCAGAGGCCAGGACCCCCCCTCCAGCCTGAGCGACTGGCAGAAGCAAACCGACAAAGCACTGGCCCAGATGAGGAGGAGGGGGGGGGGCGGAGGGAGAGGGGGGGGGAGGGCGGAGGCAAAAGGCAGGGAGAGGGGATGGGGAGAGCAGAACGCCCCAGCCTCCGAACTGGGACCCCACTGCCTCCGCTCGCGGCGCCCCGCCGGGAGCGGAGGAAGCAGCGGCCTCCGCGCCGTGCCGGGCGCACGGCAAATTTGCGGCCGCGCTCGGCGCCGGGCGTGCTCCTGTGCGGCTCCTTCCCCCCCCTCTGGGCACCCGACACCCCTCGGCCAACTGTCGGCACCCGGCATTCAACAGAAAACGCGGAAGTCCCGCACCGCTCCCAGGGCCCTGCTTGGCTGGCAGCCTCCCGCGCGGCGCACCGCTTCGCCGTCTGGAGCGCGGCCGCCGGCGCCGTGGCCGCTGGGCGCCGCCGCCGTGGCCGCTGGGCGCCGCCGCCGCCGACGCCGTGCCCGTAGGCTCGTGGCCCTCGTCCAAACACGGCGATGGGGGCGCGCTGGTTCGTGGAGCACCCCAACTCCGAAGTGGTCCCACTGGAAGATCCTCAGGCTACCCGTCGACGTCGAGTCGATGGAGGATGCCTGCCTCACCTCGGAGTCTCCGGCAGAGGGCGCGGAACTCCAGCTCGCACGGTGTCGTCAAGTACCTCGAGCGCGCCGCGGTTGTCGGACAGACGCCGTGGCCGAGCACGTGGCTGCCGTCGTCGCCGCCGCCGTGCCCGTGGACTCGTGGCCCTTGTCCGCAGGTGGCGATTGGCGGCAATACGGTCAGGAACTGTTGCTTAGGGGCTCACGGCGGCGGCCCCTGTGACACGCTATGCCTTGCGGGCGGATGGCGTGTCGCTCTGCTCCGAGGGACAGGGGGCTTCGCAAGGCTCGGGACGTTGACGCCTGGGGGCCAGGACGTGCACAGCGTGTCGCACCGAAGCGCGGTGGGCCAGACCCGGCGGCGCGACCCGTTGAGCAAACATTCCCGGCCTCAAGGCTCACTGACCATCCTCTAGCGGGGGGCATGGCGGTCCCAATCCCCAGCGTTCTGGTACTCTAGACTTGGCAAACGCTGTGGGGCCCAAGCCAGGGATATACGACGATTGGGGGCGTGCGGCGTCCATCTTCGACAAGGATGCTTCCGAGCAGCCCCCCAGGGATGTCTCCAGGCCTCCGCCTGAGGCTATCCCGGAGAGCCCCGGCCCTCGGAGACGTGCCCAAGAGGATCTCGCGGGGCGTTGGATGTGGATTCTCCCCACCCTGAAAGGGCGCGAAGGTGTTCATCTGCACACTTAATTCTGCATATATATAGATGTATATATATATATATAAGCACACATGACGATGTACAATGTACATTCCCTACCTAGGCTCTGCCTAGAAGGGTCCTCACCCTGTGTGCTTAAAAAGGGCCGGGCAGTGGGCTTCGCCCCGGGCGGTTCCCCCAGGATCCGCCCCGCGGTTCCCCCAGCTACGTTTCCTTAGCGCAGCGTTGCCTATCTCATCTTAGCTTAGCTTATTCATCTTAGCTTAGCTTAGCTTCCTCTTAGCTCGGGTATATCTTAGCTTCGCTTACCTTCATTCCCTATCTAGGCGCTGCCTAAAAGGATTCTTACTCTGTGTGCTAAAAAGGCCGGGCAGTGCTAATCGCCCCGGGCGGTTTCCCCGGCATCCGCCCCGCGGTTCCCCCAGTCCCCTGGGAGTTTTAGCTTCAGCTTTAGCTTGAGCTTTAGCTCTAGCTTTAGCTTTAGCGTTAGCTTTAGCTTAGCTTCGACTTAGCTTCAGCTTAGCTTTAGCTCAGCTTTAGCCGAACTTTAACTTAGCTTTAGCTTAGCTCAGCTTTAGCTTAGCTTCAGCTTAGCTTTACCTTGGCTTAACATTAGATTTAGTTTAGCTTTAGCTTAGCTTTAGTTTAGCTTTCGCTTAGCGTTAGCTTAGCATTAGCTTAGCTCGAGCTTAGCATTAGCTTAGATTTAGCTTAGCTTTAGCTTAGAGTTAGCTTAGCTTTAGTTTAGCTTCAGCTTAGCTCTAGCTTGGCTTTAGCTTAGCTTTACTGTTACTACTAATGCTGCTTTCCTAGGGGCTCCAACTCCTAGGTCGGGTCGAACTGGGATGATGTTTATATATATAAAAAAAAACAAAAAACGCTACCCAGGAAAGTGGAGGGCACACATCCAAGCCGGTGGACATGGCCCACTCCAGGAATCCTGAGTCCAAAAGTCTTGGATTCTCGATTGCACATAACTCACGCCAGCCGGCGGACGCCGGCGGCGGAGCCACTCTCGTCCGTCGGGCGGGTGGTAATGGGGTGTGATCTACTTGGGGGTGAAGAAAAAAACCCTAAAGGGGTATTTTAGGAGGGTGCGCCGCTGGATCTCCCCTGGGGGGGGCGGGGGTAGGACCCCCCCCCTCCCCCCCTTCCCCTCTCCGTCGTCGGGCCCCCCTTCCCCCCCCCTTCCCCCTTTCCCCGATCCGTCGTCGGGGACCCCCCCTCCTCCCCCCCTTTCCCCGACCCGTCGTCGGGGACCCCCCCCCCCCCCCTCCCCTCCTTTCAAAAGGGAGGGGGGCGTCCGACCCCCTCCCCCCTCCCCCCCTTTCGCCACGCCGCCCCCTGACGCCGGAATCCGACCCCCGCCACCCCTACCCCCAGTCCTCACCCGAACCCAAACCCCGAATCCGAACCCTAACCACTAAGCCCAGCCCCAAAGGGAGTCACGAGGGGCCCCCTACCCCCTAACCGCTAACCCCAGCCCCCTACTCACTACCCCCTACTCACTACTCGCTATTCGCTACTCACGACTCACTGCTCACTATCCACTACTCACTACCCACCACCCACTACTCGCTACTCACTACTCCCTACTCACTACTCCCCCCTCCCTACTCACTACTCACTCCTCACTACCCACTACTCAATACTCACTACTCACTAAGCACTACTCACTACTCCCTATTCACTACTCAATAATCACTACTCATTACCCACTACCCACTATCCACTACTCACTACTCACTACTAACTACTCATTGCCCACAAATCACCACTCACTACTCACTGCTCGCTACTCGCTACTCCCTACTCCCTACACAATATTGACTACACTGTACTCAGTACTCGCTACTCGCTACCCCCATACTCGCTACCCAATACTCACTACTTACTCCCCGCTACTCACTACTTCACTACTCACTACCTACTACTCCATACTCACTAGTCACTACATAGTCTCTAGTCACTAGTCACAACTCACTAGTCACTAGTCACTAGTCACTAGTCACCACTCACTACCCGCTACTCACCAATCGCTACTCACTAACCACTATTCGCTACCCACTTCTTACTACTCACTGCTCACTACCCCCTACTCCCTACTCCCTACTCAGCACTCACTACTCACTACTCACTACTCGCTACTCCCGAGTCGTTACTCACTAATCACTACCCACTACTCACTACTGACTACACTGTACTCACTACTCACTACTCACTACGCCCGACTCGCTGCTCACTACTCACTACTCGCTACTCCCTACTCGCTACTCACTACTCACTACCCACTGCCACTACCCACTACTTTCTATTCACTATTCATCACTACTCACTACGTGGTGGGGATTATTGGGCATTGCTGTCCAACGGGCTGTTGCCGGGGGCGTGCTGAATCCTTTCGGTGATCTCCCTCGGACACAAATTGAGACAGCGCCCTGGTTGGGGGAGCTGGAAGTGGTGTGATCCTCCTCCTCCTCTTCTTCCTCCTCTTCTTCCTCCTCCTCCTCCTCCTCCTCCTCCTCCTCCTCCTCCTCCTCCTCCTCCTCCTCTTCGCATATTAGCGCCGTTTGCGCTTGGTGCCATTTTCTGCCGCGTAGGCCGATTTTCCTAGCCGCCGAGCTGCTGCGCACCCATCGGTGTATAGTTCATTGCTGCGCAAAAAAAAAAACAGGAAGATCCACTGGCGCACTTTCGTATTTTAGACCCCCTTTGGGGACCCTGCTGGCTACAACAAGGGCCCTAACGTGCCCATGTAGGTCGCCCCCCATTATCACCCGCCCGATTCCGCCCGCCGCCGCCGACCTTCCGCCAGCTCCCAACGAATAGACGCCAACTTCTCGAAGAAGTCTCAGGCGTGGAGGTGGAGAGTTCGGTGGCAACTCACGGGAGCCTCCCATACCATCTTGTCGACTCTTGCGAATCGACGCTACATCGACGCTACATCGACGGTCATCGACGCTAAATCGACGCTAATCCCATCGACTTCCAGACGCTAATCGACGCTAAAGACGTAATTAAGAGGGTATACCAGGCTCCCATGATTTGCTGCCGAAGGAGGGTGCCAGTCTCTGCCCCTGGGGGCCGCCTTGAGCGCGACCATCTCCTCCACCTCCTGCCGCAACATCGGCTTGCCGTCCGCCAGGTCCAGCGTCGCGATCCCTCCCGGGCCCTCTGCTGAAACAGAAAAGAGGCATGAGCAGAATGCATCGGAGGTCCGCACGGACTTCTTGGATCGCCGCTGGATTTCGAGGGGGGATTGGCTCAGGGGGGGAGACGTCGACCTGGAATCTGCAACACATCGTCGATAGTTCGGCGAGAGGGCCCCGATAGCGAAACCGCCCGTTCCTGGACAGGGTGGCCTATCGGGCACCTATCGGCGATGAAGGGGCGATTCGGGGTCGACGAATCATGCATCCTCCCTGGGCCCACCCCACGAACGTTTCCCCCGAGGTGGGGGAGTGAGCCAGAGGGAAGGAGGCCGCAGGGCGCACCAGGCAGCGGTCGGCACGCCACCAAAGGCTGTGCCCGCGTGCCGTGCCGTGCACTCGCAGGCCCATGCTGCTGCACCATCGGTCTTCTCCTGCAGCCTTGGTGTTTAGGGCCTGTATGCCGTTGTAGCTTGATCATGCACTCGCATATCGATGTTGCTTCACCATCTGGCTTCTCATGCAGCTCTGGTGTTTTGGGTATACATGTAGATATACACATATATATATATATATGCCTTTGTAGTTTGATCACTGTGAAGGTCGAGCACGGAGCGAAAAACCTCGGGCCCTCCCTTTCCCCGAGGGACCCGTCCCGAGTCCCTTCGGCGCGCGAGCCCACTCGGCCGCCGCACGGGCAGCCGAAAGGGCCCAGAGATCCGAGAGGATCGCGGGCATCTCGCCCGCGCGGCAACCGACGGCGCTCGACCTCGAGTCCATTCTGCGGCCGACTTCCATACTAGTCGGGGCGCCCCCCCGTCCCATTTCCACTACCCGGAACTGCCATCACCCGAAAAAACACCAACTATGGCAAACCTGGTTTAGTGATTCTGGCCGATTCAAAGGCTCCAGGGCCCTACCACTAACCGGGTCCCCTTACCTGGGGTCCTGGCCATACCCGACATACGTTAAACTCAGAATTCCCATCGAAAACCTAAGGAGCACCTAAGACAACTGTAAGACAACTCAGGAACACGGAGCCCCTCCCCAACGAAATGGGTTCCTTCTTCAGCGCCCCGACTGTAGGCTCAGGAACGATCCCTGGGGGTCACTGGTAGGTCTCGACAGTTCGAACGGCCCGCGCCGGCACTCCCAAAAGCCGCCCCGGCGAAACACGGCCTGGCGGCCTGCAAGTCTCGAGGAGCGCCGCCAGGCAGCAGCCCGCTGCAAGACCACGGCAGACCCCGCCTCGCGAAGGGCCAGCTCACGCCTCGACAGCCCCACGGCACTTCCGCGGCTTCATGGAAGACAGGGGCCCCCCTGGAACGGCCCAGAGGCTCCGAAGTGGGCTCGTCTGAAAGCTGGGAGGACTTCTGAGCGCCTTCACGAGAAGCCCCCCTGCCTTCCAGGAAGGCCATCCCCCTCGCGCTAGCATGTGCGCGCCGCCAGCGGTACCTCTGCTCGGAGGAGGGTCACTTGAGACAGCGCCGACTCGCCCGCCCGGCCCAAATCCGCTCAAAGTCGATCCCCGGACCCCTCCCGGAGTCCGTCCTGGCCCGTTCCTCGAGGCTGGCCCAGCCGTGGCGACGAGAAGCCTCCAGGAGGCCAGGAGGTCCTGGAAAGGACAAGCAAACGCCAGGGGAGGGCCACCGTTGCCTCGACTGGCCCCCCTCCACAGGCCCGTCTGCTCATCGACGTAAAGTGTCGCGGGTCCGCGAGGGAAACTTGGATCGGCGCTGAACCCCCCTCCCTGGCGCGCCAGGAGGATGGGGGCCCAGCGAGGAGCCACAAATCCACGCGGAGCTCCGAATCCCTGTCCAGCTTCTTCTGCAGTCATCCTGTAGGGAACGCCGGACAGGGAACCGAGGGCCTCCACTGGCCGCTGCGAGCCTCGGCCACGGAACGGCTCCCCGACCCAGAGCTCAAGAACGGGCCAGAAACCAGAGCCCCTCATAACTGGCTTCTTCTAGAAGAAAAATAACTATGCACATCCACCGATTCTGGCCAGGCTCATCCTGAGCCCAGGATCGGTGCATACGCCCTCCTACCTTGGCCAGGAAGGCATATGCACCGATCCTGGGTCAAGGATGGGCCTTGCCAGGATCGGTGCATGTGCATAGTTCTCTTCGCCCGATCTTCGACTGCTTGCGAGAGACAGCCCCATCGGCTCGCGGGTCTCGAAGACCTACCAGTCTAGACAAGCGCGTCCCACTACTCGCAACGTAACTACTCGCAAATGGCCTGGATGATCCGCCATGGGGGGATCACGATGCATCAGATCGATGCAGACACTTTGCGAGTAGTGGAACCGTTCCACTGGAACGCGCTCGGCGACAGTCGGCCGGCAGCATGCCGCAGGACCGCTCCGGAGGAGGCACGGAGGCACGTGCCGCTGGCCTCGGGGAACTGGCACTCGCGGACCGCCCAACAAAAACAGGCTCGAGGCCCCATGTTAAGCGTGCTGCTCGCCGAACCGCGGAGCTCGACGGATACCTCGACAGTCACCAGGCTGGCGCCACGCGGAGCCGCCCACCTCGCTGCCCTACATCAGGGTGACGCAGTTCTTTCGCAACTGGCGTTTACGCTTGGCTTCTGGCCTTTGACCATCGCAGATGGATCTGGCTCCAAGAGGGACGCAGAAAGATGGGGTCTAAGGTTCTGGTCCTGATTTTCACAAAATGTTGCAATGTTTTTGCGACGTCCCAGCAAACGGAGTGAATGGCTACGCCACGGCACCGTCCACCTCATCCCACCCATCTTCCCGCCAGACAGACAGACACACCTCCTCCCATCGCCCGCCCCACCGCTCTCGTACATCTTGACCGCCTCGTTGTACTGCTTGCGCTTCACGCAGGCATTACCCTCGTCCTGGGGCCGCGAGCCACGGCAGGCTCAATCGGGTGACTGCGAGACTGAAAGAGAAAGATATTCAGTGGCAACCCACGCACCTGCGCACGGGGGGGGGCCACCAGGGCCAAAGAGAGTCGCCCTGGATCCACGTTTGATGGTGCCGGGATCCGATGGCGGGCCCCAGATCATTAAAAAACACCGGGACAATCAAATCGTCGAAGATTCGGGGAGACGTGAGACTCGGGCTCGGGGGACTCGGGTTGGCATGACAGGGCCGTCGGGGAAATGACGAGACCCAGTCTGAAATTTGACGCGAGCTCCCGCTGCAAACATCCCACGACGGCTAGACCGATGAGACTCCAGACGGGCGCGCCAAGAGCAAACTCGAGTCTCACGTTTCTCCAGAAGACCTGGGCCTGGGATTCCGCCAGCTTCTGCAACAAAAACGTAAAATGTTACCCGTCCGCACAGATGTTTTAGATCTGCGCAGGACTCCCCCTGCATGGCGCGCGAAGCGCGCCAGGGGCGGCGCCTGAGGCGCCGCCAAGGGGCCCCAGCGCAGATACGAGAAATCCTCGCGGATCGCCAACAAAATGATGCTTAGGCCGTCTGTTGCTCTTCGCCTCTGCCTGCGGGGCCACCCTCCTTTGGCCCCCGCCGCCTGCCGGCGGCCGCCGCCGAGAGCGAGGAAGGTCGCCCTCTCGCCGAGGCCCTCGAGGGCGAGACCCCCTCTGAGAGGCCAGCCTGCGCGGTTGCCCACACTGGGTGCTGCGATCTCCTGCCGAGCCCCTCCGCCCGGCGCCTCCCTGCGCAGAGGCCTTCGGAAGCTCTTCCCCTCCTCCTCCTCTTCCTCCTTTCCCTCCTCCTCTTCCTCTTCCTCCTCTTCCCTCCTACACATAGGCGCACGCGCTCAAGGAGACCTGAAGAGAGGAGAGGAGAAAGAAAGAGACAGAGAGGGAGAGAACGAGACAAGGAAGAAGGACAGAGTAGAGCCAGGATGTGCTCCTCCTCCCTCCTCCTCCTCGTCCTCCTCGTCTCCTCACCCCTCACTCCCCCTCCTCCCCTGCTCCTCGGAGGGGAATGGGAGGACAGGGTGCAGGGCCGTCGGACGAGGCCGGCGACATCGCAGAGGCGGAGGCCTGGGCGACGCACGCGCGGAGCCGCCTCGCTGCCCTCGCGCTGCCTGGCCCCAGTCGTATTATCCAGCAGGCCCCAGAGACCGATAGCAAGGAAAACCGCCGGGATTGCCAAAATCATATCGTCGGAAGTCTGGGCCCCGCGTTTGCGAGGCGGCCGCGGCGCGGCCTTCCCTCCCTTTGATCCCTCCATCGCTGGGGAAGGGGGGGGTCCTGCGGGGGGGTACCAGGGGAGTCCCGGGAGGGTCCCAGGAAGGGCCCCAGGGTCCTGAGCCCTCCCCCCTGCCCCCTCCCATCCCGCTCCTCCTCCTGCGTCTCTTCTTCCCCCTCCATCTCCTCCTCCTGCTCCTCCTCCTCCTCCTCTTCCTGCTCCTCCTCCTCCTCTTCATCCTCCTCCTCTTCTTCCTCCTCCTCACACGCACACAAACACACCCACAGCGAACCCGAGTCACCGAACAGGCCAACCCTCCGCCTCCTCCTCCTCCTCCTCAGGGTCGGCGGCGCCTGCCGCAAGGGCCTCGCAACCATACCGTCGGAGATCTGGGCCCCGCTCCCGCGAGGTGGCCGCGGCGCGGCCGCGAGGGGGGGCCCAGAGGCGGGCCTGTCGTCACGAAGGCCGCGGCATCGGCTTGCTCGCGAGCCCCACCCCGCACGGGCCGATGACCACGGGAAGGTGCACTGGTCGTGCCACCGGAAGGATCGCAGGAGAAGGAACGGATCAAGGCGCCGTCGTAATCCTCCCCTTCTTCCTCTTCCGTCGAAGAAGAGGAGGAGGAAGAGGAGGAAGAGGAGGGGGAGAAGGGGGAGGAGGAGAAGGAAGAGGAGGAGGAGGAGAAGGAGGAGGAGCAGGGGGATGATGATGATGATGATGATGATGATGATGATGATGATGATGATGATGATGATGATGATGATGATGATGAGGAGGAGGAGGAGGAGGAGGAGGAGGAGGAAGAGGAGGAGGAGGTTGAGGAAGAAGAAACATAAGAAGAAGAAAAAGAACCCGCCTCCCTGACGCGCGAAGCGCACCAGGGGCGCGGCCACGGAGGCCCAACGCCGACCCGAGAGGTCCTCGCAGACCTCCGAAGGTAAATATGTTCATGCTGCTTGCCGTGCTCTCCGTCTGCAGCCATCGCACGGCCAAGAGGAACACCGAAGGAGGAATCGAGGGGGCTCCCGTGGACACGGCGAGACTCGGCCACGAGCAGGCTCCGCGGCCCAGACTCCAGAGAAAAAAACAGAACGAACACCAGAGCCCTCCAGAGCCCCAGGAGGTCACATGCCTTGGGGCCATGGGCCATCAGAAAGACGTCTAGGTCTTGGCCTTGGGGCCGCGCGTCTTGGCCTCAGGGCCATGCGCCATCAGAAGACGCCCAGGCCCCACCCCGCGCACCAGCGCTGCATGGCAGGCCGCGAGCACGTGCCCACGGGCCACGAGCCGCCGAGCTGCCCATCCCCGAGGGCCCGACTGCGCAGGGCGGCGGGCTACGAGGGGGCCGCGAGGCGCCCCCGGGCCATTGGCCGCGCGGGCCCCCGGCGCAGTTTAGGAAGGCACCAACTATACACCAACACCGATCCTGGCCCAGGATCGGTGTTGGTGTATAGTTGGTGCCCTCCGACAGTTCCCGAGCGCAGCCGCGCACACCTGCGGCCACGAGAAAGCCACGGGCCGACAACGGCAGGCCGCCTCGGAGAGGCCGCACAGTCAATCCGCATCGCAAGGACGCGCGATAAGGATGCAAGGCCCTTGGAAGGCCGTTCGAGGCTTTGCGAACGGGGCGCGGCCAACGAAATTGGCTAAGGATGGACCGAGGAGGGAAGGATGCAAGGGTACCCTTGGGAAGGTTGCCCGTCCTTACCATGCGGGTCGACTGTGTGTGGACCTCCCCTCGGAAGCCACGCGTCGGGTGCGCCAAAATGAGCGGCGCGGGCGGCGTGTACGGACCCCGTCGCTGGGGCAGCAGGGTGTGGCTCTTCGTGGTGCCACGATACGCGTGAGGCGTGCCCTTTGGGGGGCGCAGTCGCCGTAACTACGTCGGCGCCCACTGAGACCGCAGGTAGAGCATGGGGCCAGAATCCCGCTGCCTGCTGGCTTACCCGGTGCCTCTCGCGGTGGCTGGCGCGGGCGCTTCGGGCCGCATCGCATCCTCGGAACACGTCGGGATCGAACCAGCTCGGGCTGGCCGAGATCGGCATCGAGTCGGAGTGGTCGCATCGAGACGGGCCCTGCCGGGCGGGCGCTCCTTGGCCTTCCTCGCGGCCTCGATCAGGGGCAGCCCGTCCACCACCGAGTCCACGCCGAGCTCCTGTGGCCGCTGCCCCGCCGCCGTCGGCATCGGCCGCTGCGGTCCGCTCCCTTGCCCTTGCCACTGCCAGCTTCCAACCGTGGCCACCTCCTCATGGAACGGCAGCATACAGTCGGCCCTGATTGGGCAGGACACGCGAGAGGACACAAGACCCTTCCGAGGGCCACATCGCCATAAGAGTGCAAGAAGGCACGAGTCGCGAGGCACAGGACACAAGGGTACCCTTGAGCTGGCAGGGTCGACCCACGAATCCGGGCCGACTGTACAATCAAGACGCTGAAACAGGGACCACTCTCTGGGCCCAGCAGGGGCTCGGGATTTCGAGCCCTTTCCCGGGTCTGGGTCGGGGAGCCCTTTCCGTGGCCGGAGAGGTCCGCTGGTGGTGATGTGACGTGCCTGGTGTCAGCACGATGGCGGCAAGCAGAAAACACATTCTGCATGAGCACAAAGTGTCACAGGCCCGACAGAGTATGCATGAGTGTTAGTCCTCTTCCGAGAAGGAGAAGGAGTTGGAGGAGGAGCAAGAGGGGGGGCAGGGGGAGGCTTACGAAGTCGCCATTACTCGCCAATACATTACCTATTCACCGTCGGGGGGGCAGGGGCAGGAAGGGGCAGGGGTGAGCGGTGGAGGGGCAGAAAGGCAAGGGAAGGAGGGGGGAGGAGGGTGACGGGAGGGGGGGGGGGGGGAAATTGAGGCGGGAGGGAGGACGGAAGAGGGAGAAGGAGGAGGGAGGACCACAGAGGACGAAGAGGTAGGGAGGGAGGAACAGGACGACGACGAAAAGGCAGAGGGACGAGAACGACTAGCAGGAGGACGAGAGACGACAACAGCGACGACGGTGGCGATAAGGACGACGACATGGACGACCTGCCCCCCGATGAAAACTGCTCCCTCGACCCCTCCCAAATCTCGTCATGCCCAAGTCTCGAGCGGCGCCCAGCCGTGGCCACGCGAGAACCTCGAGGCCACCAGCACGGACTCACAAGAAACGCCGCCATCGACGATCTCGGCGACGACGACGACGACGCTGACGACGACGACGACGCTGACGACGACGACGACGACGATCTCGAAAACGGTGTCGACACGACGACGACGATCACAAAAACGATGACACGACGACGACGACGACGCTGACGACGACGACGGCGACGACGACGACGACGACGACGACGACGACGACGACGACGACGATCTCGACGACGACGACGATCTCGACGACCACAATGACGACGACGACGACGGGATATCTGGACCTGCCCCACGGCCTCAAGCTTCCAGCAATCGCAAGGATCCCCGCCTTTCCCGCCCCCGCCCGTGCGGCGGCATGGACGCAGGGGGTGGGGGGGCGGACGGGAGGGGGGAAGGAGAAAGGGCGGGAAGGTCAGGAGAGTGGGAGAGGGGGAGCAGGTCGGGGACGGGCCTGACGCCCGATGTCTGAGGCCTCCGAGTCCGACTAACCGCAGTCTTCGGGCGAGGCTCGGAGTGGTGCTTCCCCTCGGGTCATCACTTAAGTCTGGCGGGTCCCCCTACAGGAGGATGTTGGGCGAAAAATTATCAATAACAAGCAATACGCAAGACATTGTATATAAAAAACAATCAAAAATCGTCCCCTGATTATTCCCCACATGTTTCGTTGGGTTCTGGTTTTCTTCTCTGCCGCGTCGCACCCGCGTCTCCTCACACACACCCCCCCTCCCCCCCCCACACACACAGCACAGCACAGCTTAGCACAGCTCAGCACAGTTCGGCTCAGCACAGCACAGCTCAGCAGGCCATGGCGCAAGGCACGGCATGCGTGACACTTTCTCGACACCAGAGAGGGTGCGCAGGGGGTGGTCAATCACCGCGGCCTCTACCCGTGACACGCTCGCAGATCGCGGCAGGGGTGGCACTTTCTCGACGCCACAGGGGGTGCGCTGGGGGTGGGGGCCCTATGCGTTGTAGGCTCCCAGGGCGTGGCAGGCGTGGCATTTCCTCGACGCCACAGGGGGTGCGCTGGGGGTGGGGGCCCTATGCGTTGTAGGCTCCCAGGGCGTGGCAGGCGTGGCATTTCCTCGACGCCACAGGGGGTGCGCTGGGGGTGGGGGCCCTATGCGTTGTAGGCTCCCAGGGCGTGGCAGGCGTGGCATTTCCTCGACGCCACAGGGGGTGCACTGGGGTGGGGGCCCTATGCGTTGCAGGCTCCCAGGGTGTGGCAGGCCCGGCACTTCCTCGACGCCGCAGGGGGCGCGCTGGGGGTGGGGTGCAGGCTCCCAGGGCGTGGCAGGCGTGGCATTTCCTCGACGCCACAGGGGGTGCGCTGGGGGTGGGAGCTCGTATCTTGTCAACAACTGTAAACACCTTGGCTCAAGCCGGCTCGGCGCGCCTGCGCTCTCACGCGGGCGCGCTCCTGTAGTCCCACTTCAAAGCACCGCCCGACCTGCGCGGCAGCCATGCCTCCCAAAATCGCCGTGGACGCGCTGCCACCTCCATGTTTGGCGATGAAGACTGCAATGGTTCAGATGGGCGGCGAGGTTAGCGTGGAGACCTCCCGAAGATGCGCCAACGGAGTGGCGCAGTCCGCTTTGAATGCGCACCGCCGCCAGCTTCGCAATTGGTGGCCCGATACGCTCTACGCGAGGTACTCGGAGATGAACGACGACGGCAAGAGGCGGTGCTTGGTGGCGTACCTGCAGAACCCTGCGTCGGGCGGATTCCCCCAGGAGGCTCTCTTAGACAACGGCGTCGGCCCGCCGGCGAAGGCGCGGCGAGCGCGCGAGGCCGGCAGCGCGGCGGCTGACACAGGGGCCCCCGCCGCCGCGTTTGCCGCGCCTCTGAAGGCTACACCGACGAAGGACACGCCAACGAAGGCCCCGCCCATGCAGACTTGCACTCCGCAGCGGCCCCCGGCTTTGCTGATGGCTACCTCTGTTCGTTCCACTGGCACTCCTCGCGCTCAGCTTTCTCCCAGGCCCGCGGAGGCGGACGGGCGTTGGTGGCAAGGACCTTGGTCGCGGAGCCTGCGACAGTCGGTCGCGGCGACCTGTTGGCGCTCCCTGGCGGGTAAGAAGGCTGTCGGATGGTGCAATTCGTTTGCAGAGAAACGGGTGGCGGATCCACAGTTCCAACCGTCCAAGGGGGGTGCCGATGCAAACTTGTGGCAGGCTCTCAACAGGTACTCCAAAGGCCACCACCCGAGCTACGAGATGGATGTCCCCACCCTTCGATTGTTCGCATTGCAGCCTGACGTGCTCGGCGTAGCTAGCGCCAAGTTCTACGGGGAGGTGAGCGACGTCGCCCCCTGGCATTGGACGTTTCGAGCTGCTGCTGATCAGCATTGCATCGACTCCCTGCGAGACGTGGAAGGCCCAGCGCGCGCCTCGCGGCAGGCTGCTCTGGCAGAGCGGCTGGATGCGGTGAAGTTCCTCTACCCAGCTGACCAGGGGGACCCGCGCCCCGACCCGACCAGGGCCAAGCGCAGCACACAGGTGCTCGCTGCTTGGAAGGACTTCAGACGCATGAGCCTCGCTCACGCGGATTCGCTTTCGTTCGCAAAGGAGAGAATATTCGATTTCTTTGCCGGCGTCACATACGACCTGTCGAACCTCTACCTGACGTCCGTGTGCATGCCCAACTTCGGGAATACGTGCTACCTCAACGCCGTGGTGCAGGCCCTGATCCACTGCAAGCCTTTGAGGCTTCGGGGTGCTTCAATCCAAACGAGCGCGTCGTTCCGCGCAGTTACTCTGGCGCTGCGAGCCCCATGGCACATCGCATTGCGTTTTTAAAAAGCGGCCCTGGGCTACCGCTGAGCTCCCAGATCCAGCGCTCGGCCACCACGGCGAGCGACTCCAGTCGTTGGGTACCATATGATTTGGATACGCGCCTCTCCCCCCCCTTCATGGGACTGAGTCGCGTCGAGAGCACGGCGCGTCTGCGTCTGCCAGGCTGGGGATTCTTCGCAGCGGCGAGGCCGACCTGATGCCTCTCGGGCAGTGCCTGAGGCGCTACGTTCTCTCGTATGCCCAGGCCTCAGACGATCTCTGATCTCGATCATCCCTGGCCCAGGTCCAAAGGTTCTTCTTCCACGCGAGCGATCCGGCGTGAGAGCGCAGGTTCCACATGTTTCGTGGGGTTCTAGTTTTTCCCCACATATTTCGTGGGGTTATGGCTTTCTTCTCTGCCGCGTCGCACCCGCGTCTCCTCGCACGCACCTCCCCTCCCCCCACACACACACAGCACAGCACAGCTCAGCACAGCTCAGCACAGCTCAGCTCAGCACAGCACAGCTAAGCACGGCACAGCACAGCACAGCACGGCAGAGCACAGCACAGCACAGCACAGCACACAACACAGCACAGCTCAGCTCAGCTCACCACAGCCAGGGTCGGAGAGAGCGGCATGCGTGACACTTTCTCGACACCAGAGAGGGTGCGCAGGGGGTGGTCCCTCAGCGCGGTCTCTATGCGCGCCAAGTCGGAAAGCGTGGCAGGGTTGGCACTTTCTCGACACCAGAGAGGGTGCACAGGGGGTGGTCCCTCAGCGCGGTCTCTATGCGCGCCAAGGTCGGAGAGCGCGGCAGTGGTGGCATTTCCCCGAAACCAGAGAAGGTGCACAGGGAGTGGCCCCTCAGCGCGGTCTCTAGAGAGGGTGCGCAGGGGGGGGCCCCTCAGCGCGGTCTCCGTGCGTGCCAGGAGGATAGCGTGGCAGTGGTGGCACTTTCTCGACACCAGAGAGGGTGCGCAGGGGGTGGTCCCTCAGCGCGGCCTCTATCCGTGACACCCTCGCAGATCGCGGCAGGAGTGACACTTTCTCGACGCCACAGGGGGTGCGCAGAGGGTGGTCCCTCAGCGCGGCCTCTATCCGTGACACGCCCGCAGATCGTGGCAAGAGCGGCACTTTCTCGACACCACAGGGGTTGCGCAGGTGGTCCCTCAGCGCGGCCTCTATCCGTGACACGCTCGCACGTCGTGGCAGGAGTGGCACGTTCTCGACACCACAAAGGGTGCGCAAAGGG